AGAATCTTCCTTCGAAAGTTTATATTTTCTAAATGCGAAGAGAGTTTTAAGAAAAGGCTTTTCTGTATTTTTAATAAGGAAAATATGTTCAGTAATTCAAAACTCAGCCGGTAGCAGTTTGAATCGGGAACAGTTTTTCAGTATTTAAAAGTTTAGTTTACAGCCTAACTGTTTGAATAAATAAATAAGAACAGCGTTTCGTATTTTTTAAATCAGTCCAACATTAGAACAGTTTGAATTATTAACAATCGGCAACAAGCAAGTTTGTATAGTTAGCAGCCATGGTTCTTTCATTTGGCTTGCCGCTGTCAAGATATGAAGCTCTCAAGATATGCAGGTTGATTTCGTGGCAGATAAATCTCTCATCGTTACTAGACCATTAAGTTTCTGAGTGGTGACACAATCAACTTCCCAACCAACCAGAACCACATTACGCTTTTGTGTTTAAATCAGCTCAATACAGTTTTATAACCAGAGGTTCTTCCAGGCATCTCTTCGGGGGGGGGGGGGGGGCAGCGCCCAGCTGAAGAAAGCCTACAGCCCCCTCCCCCTAACGAAATAGAATTTATATAGAAAACATACTTTTACCAGTGTCGCCCCCCCCCCCCCTCTCGATAATAGCAACAGCCCTCCCCCCCCCCCCCCCCGGAGGAAAAAGCCTGGAAGAAGAAACACTGGTTGTGACTTTATCAGGTCGTTTCACGTGTGAGTTTTCGTTGTCATATTTTCTTGTAATATGATCAACTTGCCTCCATAGTGAATTACGTGTCTTTATTTGGGAATCTACAGAAGGTTTATGAAAAATCTATTTGATCAATTCTAAAATAATTTTTACCATTGACATTTTTAAAAAGTACTTCAAGATTTAATAAAACTTCCACACGACAAATACATGCAGCAAAGCTCAACTTGTAAAGTAATGAGGAAGAAATGATGTTTTAATATTACTACAAATCTGATACTCAAGAAAAAAAAGGAAGATAAAGTAAATAAAAACAGTATTTTTCAAGAATATTTTTGTGCCGATTTGCAAGACGTTTGTGACTCTGTGATGTCCATGTATTTTTAACCAAAATAATTAAAGCTAATGAATTTTAAAATGCATTTATTTTTATTTTTTCGGGGTTAATTTTTTTAGAATTTACCCACGGAAATATTTAAAATTCATTTAACTCTTTTTGCCTTAAAAATATTTAATATATTTTGCACGAAATTCTTCATATATAATAGAATTTATAACAGATTACTATTTCAAAGTATTAAATAAAAGTCGAATAAGTTTTGTTTTATTTTTAAATATAATCAGTGCGTTTGATTGTCGGGTAAAAAATTTTCTTTTACGATTTTCATGAGAATTCAAACAATATTTTTTTTACAGTTTGAAGTAAGTAATGCACAAAACAAAAAAGATTTTCAATGTGCAACCTTATTTAATCAAAGTTTCTGTTAAGTTTTCGTACATTTATTGAATATTTTGTACGAGGCCGCCCCGCGGCAATATCATACGCCGCTATTTAGTTGTTTTATTTTCTACTTTTCAGTAATTCATAATTTGTGAATTCGACAGTACCAATGCTGCCACTGAAAATATTTGCTTTAAGACACTATCAAGTAGGGTCGTTAAGAACGATACTACCCCCACCCTCCTTTCCCCCAACCCCTACCCTACCCCCCCCCCCCCCCGTGAAAGCAGCCTCTCTCTTAGTTTACCTCTCCTAAGTTTAAAATCATTTTCAAACTAAATTATCTGCCCCTAATAGCCGTCACTAAACCCGGCTCTACTATTGTAAGCATTTAGCGTGAACCACAGCTCACCAGAACATGTAGGGGTGGGGTGGTAGGGAGCGCGCTTACAGCTTGTTTTCTAGCGTCTCCAAGTAGAGAATTATATATATATATATATATATATATATATATATATATATATATATAGAGAGAGAGAGAGAGAGAGAGAGAGAGAGAGAGAGAGTAAGCATTTAGCGTGAACCACAGCTCACCAGAACATGTAGGGGTGGGGTGGTAGGGAGCGCGCTTACAGCTTGTTTTCTAGCGTCTCCAAGAAGAGAATTATATATATATATATATATATATATATATAGGAGAGAGAGAGAGAGAGAGAGAGAGAGAGAGAGAGAGAAAGAGAGAGAGAGAGAGAAAGAGAAAGAGAGAGAGAGAGAGAGAGATTATAATATGTTTATATATTTTTTTCATGATCATTGATAAACAAAACATATTAATTTTGTTTGTTTTATTGAACACAATCACTTGTTAGTTTTTTACGTATTTGTTGTGTTAGATCTTCAAAAACATAAAACAAAAAATGAGCTTATACTTTATCCAAATGATGAACCTTAATTCAATAGCTCTATTGAAAACCTTTTGACCTATTTTAACAGCTTCGTTATATTGTTATACACAGCAGTGTTTCTTCCAGACTTTTTTCTCCAGGGGGGAGGAATGGGGGGGGGGGGCACTTGAAATTTTCGGACAACTTAAATTTCCGGGGGCCGGATACAGTAATAGGATAAAATTACTATATAAATTCCTTTTCGTTCGGGGGGACGGTAGACTTTCTTGGGGGGGGGGGGTAGAGGGGGTCTGCTCCCCCGAAAATATGCCTGGAAGAAACTATGATGCACAGACTGACAAACTTACATTATTCGATTAGCTGCACAACCATACACAAACCATTCTATTACAATGTCCACACCACCCCTATTCCACCCTGTCTTCAGAAACATTAGCCCCGAACACCCCATTTCTCAACATGTTAAGCGTATAAATTATTTAATAAAGAGAAATTTCCATAACGAATTGCTTTTTTTTTTTTTTGGTTTTTTTAGACACAGCTTCAACCGTTGACACTGTCTGTGTGAACTTTGCGTCATAGATTAACAACAGCTTGGTTTATTTCTTATGCATGCCGTATCGGGTCTTTGATCAGCTTTTGCAGCAGAACAAAGAGCTGACAAGAACACAAAGAGCAGCTTTGAAAAAGTACCCTTGACATATTTAAATAACGACCATTGCCTGAATGCTAGAGCGATTGTGTGATTCATTAGGTCGCTCTGAAAAAATATGTGTCGGGGTCAGACATAGAAATCAGGAGTCGCACAGGGAAAGGAAACGGCATTTGATCGGGTTGAGTTCGGTTTAGTCGCCTGAAACAGTTAGACGCCTCTGTGACCCAGAGGCGTAGCGGGGGCAGGGTACATATGTCTTCGGGCGCCGACCTTAGGGGGCGCGAAAATGGATTGTAAAAACAAATTAAAATCTCATTTTAGCTGCAGTTTTGCATTATAAATATAATGTATGGGGGGGTGAAAGTTGAAAGTTTGACGGTGGGTGCAAATTGAAAGTTTGAGGGGGGGGGGGGGTCGCAAATTGATAATTGAAAGTTTGTCCCTGGGCGCCGGGAAGGGTCGCTACGCCTCTGCTGTGACCACCCTGTTGAGTACCTGACTCGAGTCGACTGGGCATAGTGCTGCCCTGTTTTACTTTAGGTCTATTACCTTACTCAGCGTATACCTAGGTGTGACATTAATGTCGCTCTACACCAGAGGTCTCCAAACTTTTCAGTCCGAGGGCCGCATTAATTATCAAATTTTAGTTCGGGGGCCAGTTTCTTCGAGGCATGTCTTTGATTTTTCTGGGCAAAGTTCCTCAGCCATCACCAACAAACAATTTTTCCTTGGACAAAAAGATCTCAGCGGGCCAGATGAGAGGACTTCGCGGGCCGCATCCGACCCGCGGGCCCCAGTTTGGAGACCCCTGCTCTACAAAATTACGGCCTGTCCCGTTTTGGTGCTGAGGTGGTGAAGGGTGGGGGAGGGGTGTGATAACCAACTCAGAGTGACCTAAGAGTCAGTTTTTTTTATAAGTTGCAGTTGTATTATGACAATAATTTGTTTACAGAGGGGTCCTTGCCTACGCCACAGTGTCTATTTATGTATGTCAAGAAAGTTTAGGCCCAGGGGGTGGGATATTTCAAGAAATATTCTGGACTCCTTGGCTTACTGGATATTTGTGATCGACATAACAATCACAGGTAAGAGACACAGTCACCTGCGGTACAACCCCTTTAAGCAGGCAGGTATAGACGTGGTAGACTCCGGCTAATAAGCGTTGTGAGATAAACATCCGTTACAGACTCAAGCATCCATAACAACTCATCGAGGGAATTGAAATTCAAACAAACGCTTCATGCTTAAATAATTTCCTGTATTTAAATTAGAGCAGATTAATCAGTTTTACTTGTATGTCGTTTGAAGCATTCAGTTTGTATCACTTGAAATTATTGGAGGTTTATTTTGAAATGCATTTTACCCATTGATATAATAACACATAGGCGGTTGTTGAATGTGTCAGGTATTGAAGTAACTGAAACAGCGCGTTCAATTATGAATAACCGAAAGTGCTTTGTGCTAAGCATATGGAAACCAATTTATAGAAATAGAAACATGCGTCGTACAGTTGGAGCATTAACTCAAAATGGCCAACAGCTTAATCCTCGTGCTGGTTTTCCATTTTGTGTCAGGTACAGTAAGATATTTAAAATATTGAATGTTATTAGTAAATTCGATTTGTTTGACCAAAACAAAACAACAAATGTACATGTGATGTATTTAGCTTAGAATGTTTTGTATAACAAGGTGATGTGGTGTTATCTACAGGCAAACACAAGTTATTGTTTAAAAAGTGTCCATAGTTTTAAGTTTTAGATAGAACATTGGCTAGAAAAAAAAACGTTTAAGATTTTATATAGCAAATAACAGAGTTAAATCGTGCAAATATCAAAATACATTAAACAGTGTTGAATTATTTTTTTTAGAATTGTAATTTTTTTTGTGTTTAAGGTTTAGGAGCAGATTGAAATAGATCTCAGGGTGTTTTTTTTAAATTAATAGAATGATAATTTTTTATTTAAAGTTAAGTTCCAATTTAGTTTTTCGAACACATCTCAAATAAGCTTCACGTGTGATAGATAGAGTAGCGAGGTGTACAAATGAGAAATTGTGTTTTGGGGTTTGTAGACTACTTGGGACTTTCTACAGGGCTATCTCTCATTCGAAAACAACACGTATCAGATCAGACTACATTAATAAAACTACATATACAAGCTCTATTAAAATATATTTTATCAATATTTTCAAACTTAAAATAAATAAGAATGAGCGGTAGAATGCACGATTGCTTAACCGAAAGTCTTGAGTTCGATTCGGGCTGGATGCTCTATTTCCTCCTAAAGTTCACCCAGCTCTGACCTGAATCTGAGTTAAGTTAGGGAAAGTAAAAGTGGCTGCGCATAACATTACCTACACAATGGCTTCATATTATAAGATTATAAAAATATTTGAACATTATTTAGTATTAACTGAAAACTCCGAAATATTAGTAACATTTTTACTTTCAACTTTTTAGTGAGCTTCCTTTCGTGTGAGTTCCAGGAGTTAAACTTCCAGATTCAAAAGGCCAACGAGATCACGGTGCTAGCTCTGGATGTGTCTCGCACAGCGACGGGAATGGTAGATTGTGCTAGTCAATGTGCTCTACGAAAAAATGAATGCTTCAATTTTATTTTTGATGACTCAAACCAACAGTGCATTCTGGGTATGTTACGTTTTGTAAAAAGAATTCTCTATTAAGCGCTTATTTAAAAAAAACATATTTACTTGCCCAAATATATGACGTTCAGTGTGCGACAATTCCTTCTTCTCTCTGCCCAGGCTACTGGTCAGTCCCTTGGTCAGCCGTCACGGACACCCAAACCCAACTTCACAAGACCACGGCCTCTCTCTACTCATCCGACAAATTTTGTAACGTCACAGAACCGATAACTCCGGTCGGAGCAGGGAGGATGAGTTCCTGTAACACCTCGGCTTGCCTTAGTAAGATTTTCATTTTTTTGTTCTTTGTAAGGGTTTGGATAAAATTTACTTTTAATTACAACAATATGCAAAATTATTTTGCGCGGAAAATTTTTAATTGGAATTGAATAGTCCCTAAAATAAAAAAATGGCAATAAAAAAATATAAATAGAGACCTTTAATAATTGTATCCAACTATGTTTTGTATATATACTGTCATAAAATAATACATTCAGTTATAGTTATACCTTTACACATTTATCATTCAATGTTATTCCAGCGCAATCGTGAACGAAATTTCAAGTCCTAAAATAAGTGGATTTAAAATCAATTTCAATGTCGGATAATTCTAAACGAAGATTTTATTGTTGGGAACTTCGGAAAGTTCTCTGTCTTTTTTTTTTCTTTTTTGGTAAAAAAAATTATTTTACTTTCAAAACGCAAAGGAAAAAGAGAGATTATATTATTTTTTCTAGCTGTGTTTATTATTTTGCTAATTTCTTTGTGAATACCCATCTTAATTTTTGAGCATTAACTATTAAGGAAAGAAAGAGCAGTTTAATTGTTTTTAAAAATTCCAGCGTTCATAGAAGTAGGAAGCGACACGACCTTGAACCTGAACAGCCCGAATGTGTACAGGTCATGTAAAGACGTCACGGACACAACACAGCCAAGACAACTGGTCAAGCTGACGTCAGGACTGGTGGTCATGTGCGACACACAGACAGACGGCGGAGGGTGGACGATTTTTCAGCGTCGCGTTTCCGGAGCCATCGGTTTTAACCGGAATTGGACTGAATACAGAAATGGGTTTGGGGACTACGGTGTTGGGGATTTTTACCTGGGTAATGAAAATATTCACTGCATCAGTTCCAAGGCTAGCCATGAATTACGTATTGATATGGAATACAAGGGAATCAGCTACTACGCATTGTATTCTTTTTTCAAACTGTTTTCAGAGGAGGATGGATATAGACTTTCCGTGAGTGGTTTTGGAGGCAATGTATCTGATGATTCTTTATCGTTTAAGAGTAATTATCAGCAGTTCAGCACATACGACAGGGACAACGACATTGACTTTTTCAGACACTGTGCCAATCGCTACAAGAGCGGTTGGTGGTTCTCGTTTTGTCATGACGTCAACCTCAATGGCATCTGGGGCAGCAAAACATTAGGAGAATCCATCGAATGGCTTTCTATTACTGGAGAATGGGACAGCCTTGAATTCACTGAGATGAAAATACGACCACTACATTAAGACTGGAAATATTTGATTAAAATTTAAGATTTGGGATAAACTTTAAGTACTATTACTACTATTGAAAACGCATTAGCTTTTTTTATACTGAAAAAAAAAAAATGAAAATACAATCACTATTTTGAGACTGGAAATATTACCTTAAAATTTAAGATTTTGGATAAACTTACTACTATTGAAAACACAATTTTTTTATGTGATACTAAAGAAACTATGAGATTACGACAATTGCATTGAGACTGGAAATATTTGATTAAAAATTAAGATTTGGGATAAACTTTAAGTATTATTACAACTATTGAAAACACAATAGTTTTTGTATGTGCTACTGAAGAAATTCTAAAAATACGATCACTGCATTGAGATTGAAAAAAAAAATGTGATTAAAAATTGACGCTTTGGGATAAATTTTAAGTTCTATTGTTACTATTGAAGACAAAATAAATATTTTATTTAAAAAATGTGATACCTAAGAAATGATGAAAATATAACCACTTCCATGAGATTAAAAGTTTGATACTTTAGAATTACACAGGGCTTACAATATTTTCATCGTTTGAATCCATTAATTAAAAAAAATATTTTCATTTTCGAGAAAAGGTAAATAAAATTGATATTTATTTAAATAAATTTGACAATTGGATACATTTATCAATGTTGAAATATGGATGTCCATTTTTGGTTTGATGGACTTAAAATCGAATGTTTTATTCTTTTCTGTAAAAAGATTAATCATTAATATGCTCTTAACCTAGCTAACAATTAATTTGAGGAAAGTATTGAAAAAGAGCATTGTCAATGCAGAAATATTGAAAAATTAATTGAAAACTTCGTGCACGTATGGTAGAAATTGTTTTTTTTTCTTCTTTTTTTTAAAGTCAATTGGGACCATTACTATTAGAAATTAAATAATTAAATATAAAAAATGTGATCAATCCGACATCATAAGAAAAAATAAGAATATTTAAGATGGGATAAACATCTGAGCAGAGGAGGGAAGGGGGTTCTGAGTGGTAAAAAAAAGTTTGCTATGCTCATTGACTGACTTAGCAAACTAGTCTCTACACGCACTGATTAGACGTTGGCGTAGAATTACATAAATACTTATTTGTTTCTAAAGAGCACCGCAGGAGAAGAACAGTGTTTCTCCCAAAACTTTTTTCTCAGCGGGGATGGGGGGGGGGGGACTAAATCTAAATTTTCCGGGAGGGGGCGGACATTATTAAAAGTACATATATTTTCTATATAAATTCCATTTCGTTCAGGGGAGGCGGTAGAAGATTTGCCTGGAAGAAACTCTGGAGAAGAACAACACCAGTATTTTGTAAAATTGATTGAAAGATTCTTATAAAGGAAGAAATATTGTATAAATTATAGACTACACGTTTTTATTATCAATTTTTCCTAAATTTTGCTGTATAGTTTCTATAACACTGATATCACTTGCTTTGTGTGCATTGTTTCTCTAATACATCGCTATTTCAATAAATCAAATGTAAGTTTAGAGATTAGCCTAACATAAAGTTTGAATGTGAGAATTAATGTTTTATTGTAAAGCCGCAAAAGTTATCTTAGCTTTTATACTATTCTTGTGGTATTCATTTTATAACAATATTATTAATGTGTACATTTTTAACATCACTTTTTTCATCTTAAATTAACAACGTTTTAATTAGTTATATTGTTCTCTAGTTTTTCATCTTATATTATTAAAGAACAAATCGTTGTTTAACCTTTTACTATAATACTGATTTGTAAAGATTATTATTAAAGAATAGTATTAATTATTACTAAATTGTAAAGAAATTATAAATCTTATTTGTACGCGGAAACCGTTTTCGTAATAATTTTAGCTATAGTTACTGTTTTAAATTTGTAACCAGCCACAGTCCTCAAGAGATGCATAATGTTTTCATGTACAAGACATATGTGTTTGACTTAATAGAATTACGTCGAGAACTAGGACATTTCCGGTTCAGGAATCCCAGGATGGACGAAGGCTATAGAAGCAACTCCAAAAAGAAAAGTAGGCTGAAATCAGAGTTAACGGCATAAAAGGCGCATAAGTTGACACGTAATACTTAAGTCTGTTGGAGGAAATCCCGTCCTACATTACAAATAAGAACAAAAAAGAAGAGGTACCAGCTCACATCAACCAATGAGGCATCGGCTAACTTGCATTATGGGAGAAACATCCATAACAGACGGAGGTATCCATGACAAGCTATCAAGGGAATTGAAAATCAAACAAACGTTCCTTGCTTAAGGAATTCTCTGTATTGAAATTAGCGTAAAGTAAACAGTTTTATTTGGATGTCGTATGAACCATTCAGTTTATATCACTTGAAAAAGATTGTGGATTCTTTTATAATCCAGTTTACCCATGAATATAATAACACATTGGCGATTTTGGAAAGTGTCAGGTATTGAAGTATCTGAAACAGTGGTAGCAACTGCGCTCAATTATTGATAAATGAAAATGCTTTATGCTAAGCACATTGAAACCAATTTATAGAAATAGCAACTGATGTGACTTGCAGTTGGAGTGGAAACTTAGAATGGCCAACAGCTTACTTCTCATGATGGCTATCAATGTAGCATCAGGTAGGCCTACAGTAAGATCTTTAAAAATGTTGAATGCTGTTTGTAAGTGTCGGTTGTTTTCATTAGTTTAATTAAAACAAACTAAAACGATTTACAGGTGAGATTTATTCAGCTTAGACTGTTTCAGAAAACACATGTGGTTTTACCTACCTGAAGAAACAAGTTATGCTATAGGCCTACAGACTTAGAAACCAAATCTGTAACGAATTTAGATCGAGCATTAGTCAGAAGCAAAAACGTTAAAAAATAATGTTACATAGAAAAGAATAGAATTTAATTGCAACACTATCTGACTACTTAAGATTTTGTTACATAAAATATTTTTTTTACAATTATGATCTAAGAGCAAATAAAATAGATATTTTTCATTAAAGGTTTAGCCAATTTAGTTTTTTCGGAAAATGCATGCAAGTAAACTTCACAACTGTTAGAATGAGGATGAGATATACAAATACAAAATTGTATTATGGATATGACATAAAGCTTTTACAAGGCTATCTCTCATTCGAAGACAACATTTTTCAGCGAACTCAAATCATAATACTTACTACGCTATTATAATATTATTTATATTTTTTAATATAAATTGTAAATTAAAATTAATAATACGAGTGGTTATGCACGCGATTGCTTACCCCAACGTCTTACTTCAGAGTCTCCAATCTTTGAGCCCCCCCCCCCCCCCCGCCCCTGCTTTGGCCTGAATCTGAAACAAGTTAGGGAATGTATAGTAGCTGAGCATATTATCGAGTACACTGTGGCTTCCTATTATAAGATCATAAAAGCTCATGAAAATTGTTTCATATATATGTTGAGAACTCCTAGTGGTACAATTTTTACTTGCAACTTCTTATGGAGCATCCTTTCCTGTGAATACACAGTGGCTTCCTATTACTAAATCAAAAAATTATGAAAATTGTTTCATATGAACTGAGACCCCTCAAACGGTGTCAACGTTTTACTTGCAACTTTTTTGTGAGCTTCCTTTCGTGTGTGTTCATAGTGGCTTCATATTATTAATCATAAAACAAAATTATGAAAAATGTTTCAATTTTCAGCCAACTCCTAAATAGTGGTAAAAATTTTACTTCCAACTTTTTAGTGAGCTTCCTGTCGTGCGAGGTCCGAGAGTTTGACTTCACCATCAAAGAGGTCAGTGAGGTGACGTTGTTGGCACTGGATACGTCTCAGACAGCGACCGGGTTGATCGACTGTGCTCATCAATGTGCTCTTCGGGAAAATGAATGCTTCAATTTTATATTCGATGTATCTAACTATCAGTGCATTATGAGTACGTTATTTTTTTTAATACTTTAAAAGTTTAGTTTATAGAAAACAGAACATAATATAATTTAAATAAGGTTTTAAAGTATTTTTTTTCCTTCTTCATTTTTTGTTACTGTAATTTGGAAAAGACTTACCCCAACTCAAATTTACTCAATTAAGTGTCAACTTGTTATACGAAATGTGAACCGCTGATTTCTATTTTTCTATCTGTATTTGTTTCCATAGCTTTTGTCCACACTATTTTTTTTTGACTACATTCATTTCACAGGGGGTGGCGTGGTCGAGTCGGTATAGCTCATGGTTGCCAAAAGTATCGAGTTCGAACCCTTGGGCAGATGAGGCTCATTAGCTTCTAGGAGAGACAACTCCAAAATCAAACATCTGCTGCCTTGCAGTTTGATCTTGGTTGGACAAAGGCTGAAATCGTATACGGAACGTCAAAATTTTTAATTTAGCCCCCACCCCACAAATAAATCATGCCCTTTGTTCAATCCCCGTTGTATTTATAATGTCCGTAAAAAGGAGGGCGTGTCTATTGAATATTGTTCTCGGTCTTTGTTTCTAACAAGAACATATTATATAAGCAGGACATAGCTGTATTCATTACATCTGTATAGGCAAGTGTATTTAGTATTACAGTGTCAAATACGTAGGTATACGCAGAGGTGTAGCGAAGGCGGGGCATGGGATGCTGACCGCACAGGATGATAACATTTAGGGGTGACATCACGGCAAAAAAAATTGAAAATTATATAGAAACAAATTGTTTTTTAATAACAGATAAGTCAATCAACGACAGTAGAGCCATGACACCAAAATCTAATGACTTACGATGAAAACGATGCTTTTTCCACAAGAATTAATAGGTGGATTATGCGCACAAATTAACGCCATTACACAAAATGGGAAGGAGATGTCACCATCGTATATATATATATGTTTTTCGGGGGATGAGGGATGACACCATGAGGTCCCGAACCGGGTGTCACCTTTCCTCGCGACGCCACTGTGTATACGTGTATCCGTTTACGATCATAGAACGTTAAGAACGTTATGAATTCATCTTCTATCCACTCAGGCTACTGGTCAGTCCCTTGGTCAGCTGTCACGACAACCCATATCCAAACCGACAAGACCACGGCCTCTCTCTACACAAATGGCGGGTTTTGTAACGTCACAGAACCGATCACTCTAGTAGGACCAGGAAGGATGAGTTCCTGCAACACGGCTGCTTGTTCGAGTAATGTCACTGTTTTTTTTATGTCTTTTGATAAAATATTATAAAAACACATTGTCATGCAAGATTATTTTAGACGGAAGTTATTACATTGGAAAAGAATAATTGAAGTCCTTAGAAGCAGAAGAAATCTAAATAAAAATTTTAAGCTTTTATGCGTGTGAAATCGTGATTTGTGTCAAAGCGGTCATAAAATTTGCATTCTGTTATGATTTTACAACTCGACATTAATTGTTATTGCAATGCAAATGTGGAGAAATTTCTAATTCTAAAATTATTTTTTAACATGTTTTCAATATTGTCATTTGTCGGAAAATTCAAAACGAAGCTTTTTTTTTTTTACAAAGAGATCGAAAAGTTCTGTGCCTTTTTGGTAATTAAAATAATTTTATACTCAAAACATTAATATGGAATAAGAGTAAGCCTACCTTTTTACCTGTATTTTCTATTCCGTCAATTTCTATGTTAAAGCGTGTCTTAATTGTTATTTTAAGCGGTAAAATATAAAGCAAACAAAATGTATGATCTCTTTTTAAAATTTCAGCGTTTATAGAGGTTGGCAACAACCCAACCTTAGACCTGAACAGCCCGAATGTGTACAGGTCATGTAAAGACGTCACGGACACAACACAGCCAAGACAACTGGTCAAGCTGACGTCAGGACTGGTCGTCATGTGTGACACACAGACAGACGGCGGAGGGTGGACGATTTTTCAACGCCGCGTTTCTGGAGCCGTCGATTTTAACCGGAGCTGGGCGGAATACAGAAATGGGTTTGGGGACTACGGTGTGGGGGATTTTTACCTGGGTAATGAAAATATTTTCTGCATCAGTTCAAAGGACAAACACGAGTTAAGGATTGACATGAAATACAATGGGGAAAGCTATAACAGAAGTTATTATTCTTTCCAAATTTTTTCGGAGCAGGAAGGATACAGGCTTTCTCTACGCGACTTTATAGGCGACTTGTATTGAACTGATTCGTTAACATTTAAAAGCAATAACCGTAAGTTTAGCACCTACGACAGAGACAATGACGAAGACCTTTCAAGACACTGTGCCAATGAATACCACAGCGGTTGGTGGTTCTCGTTTTGTCATGACGTCAACCTCAATGGCATCTGGGGCAGTAAAAAGTTCGGTGAAACCATCGAATGGCTTTCTATTACTGGAGAATGGGACAGTCTTGACTTCACTGAGATGAAAATACGACCACTGCATTGAGACTGGAATAATTTCCTTAAAATTGACGCTTTGGGATAAACTTTAGGTTCTATTGTTACTATTGAATACAAAAAAAAATTATTTTATTTAAAAAATGTGATACTGAAGAAAGTATGAAGATAAAACCACATTTAAGAGACTAAAATTTTGATAATTTAGAATAAGACAAGGCTTACAATCTTTTCATAGAGACTAAAATTAAATCGTTTGAATTCTTTTATTAAATATTTGTATTTATGAAAAAAGGCAACACATTGATAATTAATTTTTTTTTTTTAATTTAATCTATATATTTTGAAATACGGATGTCCACCTTTGGGTTAATGGACTGAACATCGAATTAATTACTCTTTTCTGTAAAAAGATTAACATGGCTAACAATCAATTAATAAATTAATTTGAGGAAAGTATTAATAAAGAAAATTGTCCATGCAGAAATATTAAAAATTGAGTAATAACTTCGAGTACGTATGGTAAAAATTGTTGCTTTTTTTTTGTCCATTGGACCTTATCTATTTAAAGTTGAATAATTAAATATAGAAAATTTGTTCAATCTGACAACATCAGAAAAATATGAATGTTTAAGATGGGATAAACTTGTGAGCAGAGTAGGAAAGGGGGTACTTAGTTCTAAGAAAAGTTTTGTTATGCTCATTGACTGACTTAGCAAACCAGTATTTATATGCACTGATTAGACGTTGGCACAGAATTACATAAATACTTCTTTTTTCTAAAGAGCACCACAGGAGAAGAACAGTGTTTCTTCCAAAACTGTTTTCTCAGCGGGGATGGGGGGGGGGGGGGGGCACTTGAAATTTTCGGGGGGGGGGGGGGGGACTAAATCTAAATTTTTCTATATAAATTCCATTTCGTTCAGGGAAGGTGGTAGAAGATTTGCCTGGAAGAAACTCTGGAGAGGAACAACACCAATGTTTTTGTAAAATTGATTGAAAAATTCTGGTAAAGGAAGAAATATTGTATAAATTATAGACTACACGTTTTTATTATCAATTTTTCCTAAATTTTACTGTATAGTTTCTACATCACTGATTTTACTTGCTTTGTGTGCATTGTTTCTCTGATACATCGCTATTTCAATAGATCAAATGTAAGTTTAGAGATTAGCCTAACATAAAGTTTGAATGTGAGACTTCATGTTTTATTGTAAAGCCGCAAAAGTTATCTTAGCTTTTATACTATTCTTGTGGTATTCATTTTATAAAAATATTATTACTATGTGTACATTTTTAACATCACCTTATCAATGTTTCAATTTGTTATATTGTTCTCTAGTTTTTAATCTTAAATTATTAAAGAACAAATCGTTGTTAAAATATTTACTATAAGAATGTTTTGTAAAGATTATCATTAAAGAATAATATTAATTCTTATTAAATTGTAAGAAATTGTAAATTTTAATTGTACGCTGAAACTGTTTTAATAATAATTTTAGCACACGTTTTGTAATTGTATGTAACCCTTCTAAAAAAATTTAAAAAATTAAAAATGTATTGTTACCTCCCTTCGCAAACGCTTTGTAAAGTGTGAGATCCGTGTGAAATTCATTCCGCTCAAGTTGCATTTAATATAATGTATTAGGTGCCTATGTATAAAAATTGTTTTCAGTTTAGCTTACAAAAAATAAGATTCACAAACATAACAAGGAAGTATAACACACATTGCTAAGTCATGCGTAACAAAATAACTAGATGCTATTTTAAGTGTTTGATTAAGACACTCTCAAAATGCATCAACACAATATATATATTTACAGAAGACTCATTTCAGTTGAAATAAGGAATACGTACTCATATAAGCACATGAGGTAAATCACAATACTTTTTTAAAAATTATTGAAGCAGAATAGGCCAACTTATTAAAGTAAAGCCTACTTCTCCAAATAAAATATAAAGCCATTTTAATATATATACATCCATATATAGTTTGTTTTATAAAAATGTCGATATGACGACATCATACATTGTTGTATCATAGGAGGCACCTTTAGATTATCGAGTGAACGGTGTCAAATTGGGGGGGGGGGGGGGTGGGAGAGAGTTAAAGCGGATAAAAATGACAAAACGCTGTATTTCTCCATTCAAATTCATCAAATGTTCAAGAAAAATTGAGGTAAATTTTCCAGCGATTTTCGGTACTTCTAATCTACACAGACTCACATGGACAACGATACGTCACTCTCAACGACCCCGCCTATCAGCTAAAAACAAAACGGTACAGTCAGTGGCGTAGCGAGGGCGGGGTGGAGGTTGCGGATGTCACCATTTAGGGGGGTGACACCAAGGCAAAAATTGCAAAATGTACAGAAGAAAATGTGTCAGTTTCATTAATGATTAATTAAAGTTAAATAGTTTTTTAAAGTACAAATTGACTACTATTACAAGGGGGTAGGGGTGACACCATGACGTAAACGTGTGCTAGCTATAGTGAAAACAATGTGACATCCAACTATATTATTAACAGTCTATAGACAAATTTCGTTACTTTTAAGTCTACAGTGATTAAAGCTTATAAACGTACACGTACGAATATGTGGCACATATTTAAATTATAGGCCTATGTAGGCTGACACACACTGATATATATATATATATATATATATATATATATATATATATATATATATATATATATATATATATATATACTTTGTTTCATGGGAGGGGACAGCACGTTATGCCGCACCAGGTGACACCCGACCTAGCGACGCCACTGAGTACATTGTTCATCTGGTCAGCGTTCAATAGAATAGTTTGACCGGTAATCGGTAGCATGTCTCGTACTTGAAAAATAGGCCCAGCTGGTCGTCCTGGTAGTAAAATAAGACACCAAAACATGACTAAATAAAATACAATTCTACTAACTACAGATCTGATAATTCTACAAAAGTTTCTGGGATTTTTTGGGGGGTTCCCTATTCGACAATATAGACTTGCGCGTAGAGACAGTTCGTCACTTGACATAGTCCGCTACAATTTTAAAGTTTTCACACATTTATTTTGTAAATCTGGAAAAAAAATGCAGAAGCATAACTAAATACTTTATAGTAAATTTTTTAATTAGTTATTTTTAATTACATTTACATTTTGGGCTCCCTCCCCCCGTCCCCCCTCCCCCCCCACATAATCGGTCACTCATCCCTCTCATTACTTGCAATTCCCCCAACCCCCTCCCCCGTCTCTCGAATGCAGTTGCCGATGCCGCAAGTACCCTACGCAGCCGTTCTTTTAGTGTTTTTTTTAAATCAGAAATTATTGCATTGCCATCGGAGACGAATGTTTCTGGAAATTTTGAACGAAATCGTTAGAAAAGGGTACACAATTGAGTTTAAAAAATTGTCCACAAACCCACAAACAAAAACAAACATACACACATTGTAAATAAATTAAAGCTTATGAAAATTATAATTAGAGCTTTCCTAATCGTTCTTTTTTTACCTCTGAATCCGATCAACTGATCTAAACCTAGAAGACTGGAGATATTGTATTTTTTTCTACAGCGATTTGAATGATAAAGAGCATTCGATGAAACTTGTTTTTTTTTTAAAGACACGCTAGCGTTTTATCAAACGAAAATGCTAATTATTTTAAAATTATGTGCATAAAACTGAACATCGTTATAGCTATGTTTAGAAATTGATTTAATCTCTTATCGTCATATCGACGACCTCGCTCAACGTCTGCGTATGTTGAGGTGTCGTAATAATAAACACAATCGTTGGACGTTGAAGTGGTTGTTGCGTGTATAGATTTCCCTCCATACTGTTCGTGGAGTTTAAAATATTTAGACATGGGCCACGGGCAGATGCTATCACAAAGATCGTGTGGTTCTACGCGAATGTTTTTACTTGCGATGTATTAGTAGAAACTTTTGCGTTGTGATGTTCAATGGGTGCAATATAACTAGAGGTCAATGTACAGATGAACTAGAGGTCATTGTACAGATGACTGGAGGTCATTGTACAGATGACTGGAGGTCATAGTACAGATGACTGGAGGTCATTGTACAGATAACTAGAGATCATGTTACAGACGAATTATAGGACATTGTGCAGAGGAACTAGAGGTCATTGTACAGATGAAGTAGAGGTCATTTCAGAGATGAAGTAGAGGTCATTGTACTTGTACAGATGACTGGAGGTCATTTTACATATGAATTAGAGGTAATTTAAAGACGAAGTAGAGGTCATTACACAGATTTACTAGAGGTCATATCACAGATGCATTACAGTTAATTATTCAGATCAACTGGAGAATTTTTATAGAAGAACTTGGGGTCATTCTGAAGATAACAGGTCATTGTACATAGAATTAGAGGTCAGTGTATATATAACTAGAGGTCATTGTACAGATGAAGTAGAGGTCATTGTTCAGATGAAACAGAGGTCATTGTACAGATAACTAGAGGTCATTGTATGGATGAACTGGAAGTCATTTTACAGATGAATTAGAGGTTATTTTACAGATGAACTATAGGCCATTGGCACAGTTGAACTGAAGGTCTTTGTACAGATGAACTAAAGTCATTGTAGAGATGAAGTAAATGTCTTTATTCAGATAATCTAGAGGTGCTTTTACAGATGAAATAGAGGTTATTGTTTAAATGACTGGAGGTCATTGTACAGATGAACATGAACTGTAGTTCATTGGTCAGACAAATATTTTGTCATTACCGCTTAGTTGCACTCAATGACAGATGTACTGGACGTTTGTATATTACGTAGAAGGTTGAGTTGCCATGTCATCCAAGGAAATCGTGTGCAAAACTAAACAAAATGGCCTTCGCTTTAAAAAAAATTGTTTTTCATATAAGTTAATACATTATGGCCGTACGACATGTAAAATATTCTTTTTGTAGTACTTAAAATTGTAAAGTTTCTTTGAAATCCCGTATTGTTATATTTGAAATTATTAAGGGTTTCTTTTGAAATTTCATTTTCCTCACTGATAGAATTACTCAAAGAGGCTTTGAACTTAGGACTTATCTTGCTGATCCGAGCATCTTAAGCGGCTTGTTTGCACTCATTTATTTATAAACAATGTAGATAGCTAAAAAGTGAAAATACAGTGCGTAGATGTAACGACGAATGAGAGATTCAGTAGGCGACCGAACACAGAATGATTAACAACCTTTTTTTCCTGTTGGCTATCCATTGGCTCTTAGGTACTGTAAGACCTTTAATGTTTGTTTCTAATTTGTTTAAAATTCATTACCATAGTTTAATCTTACCAAATAAAACGAATTGAACTGGATTTCTTGATATGTCTTAAAAGGATTATAAATACAAATACAGAAAAAAATAAAATGGTCACTTTTTTTCAACAGAGGTCCTGCCATTTCTTTGCAAATGTGCGGCGTGCGTTTAGTACGCCAGGCTGAGCAATATAAAATAATATTCGATGTCGACTTAGAAGGCGTTTTCCCATAGTGTTTGCAGCGGTTTCCTCATAAATTGATTACAATATGGCATTATGTTGTCCACAGAACTATTCGTTTACTGGTATGTGGCAGAGTTTCTTCCAGGCATCTCTTCAGGGGGGATTAGCCCTTCCCCCCCCCCCCCCCAAGAAAGTCTACCCCCCCCCCCACCCCCGAACGAGATGGAATTTATATAGTAAACATACTTTTACTAGTGTCCGCCCCCCCCCCTAAAATATCAAGTGCCCACCCCACCCCCCTCGGAGAAAAAAGTCTGGAAGAAACATTGGTATGTGGACGTCCATATAAATATAATGGCGTAATTCCAATTATATATATTTATATATAAATATATATATATATATATATATATATATATATATATATATATATATATATATATATATATATATATATATATATATATATATGTGTGTGTGTGTGTGTGTGTGTGTGTGTGTATATTTGGGTTCCCAAATAAATGCGAAATCGGAAAACTGCGCAACAGAAAATTGCGAAATTAAAAAAAATGCGCAAATGCAAACTCATTATACTAATACACTTTAACTTTGCCAAATTCGGTAGAAATATATTTTATTATGCAGTGTACATGTAATAAAGTTAAGTTCTCCTTCCAAACCGTACATGAATCAGGTATCCATCAAAGACGGTCTACTGACTTGAACCGGGATTCGAACACTAGACTTACGGGTATAGCAGTATAGCTAACCATAACCTTTGTCTTTCCATAAACATATTACAAGACAGCAGTTATTTGATTATGGAGTTTTCTCTCCTTAATGAGGCCTTCCCCACTTCTTTTGCAATAATAGTTAAAAAAAATATGAACGGTCAAGAAATACTTGCAATACCCTATACGGAACAGGTTATCATAAAGGATGTTTTGTATCTTGTCTGTTGAGATCAATCTGTTCTGAAAACTAAGTAAATTAGATCTACGTTTTTTTCTCGAGTTCGAACCCTCGAGCAGATGAGGCTTATTAGCTGAGGACAGCCACTCTTATTGGAGAAACAACTCCAAAATTAAACATCTGCTGCCTTATACTTTGTTCTTGGTTGGACAAAGGCTACGGAAGCAAATCCAAAAAGAAAAGCAAGCTGAAATTGGAGTCAATGGCATCAATGGCGCACAACCAATTGACACGTATACATAATTGTGTTGGAGGGGATCCCTTCCAAAACTAAAATTAAGAACGCAGAAAAAAAGAAGAAAAAAGATCTCCGTTTTAAAAATAAAATGCTTCCAACCAATATCCTAAAAAAAAATTTTCCGGTTACTAACCAGCAATGCCTAAGAAGATAATCTATCGGTCTATTTTAACTTTTTTAAAATTAAAACTAAGCATTTATTCAAAAATATAATACCATAATTTTTTTTCCATATGCTCTTACCCTGCAGTGAATTTTCTTGAGTGCAACATTCGAGAGTTCGACTTCCAGAGACAAGATCTTAATGTGGTAACCATTCTACCATTGGGCGAGTCCATTACATCCACGGGGGTGTTGGATTGTGCTAACAAATGTTCACTACGGGTGAACGAATGCTTCAACTTCATCTACGATAAATCTAGCCACCAGTGCATTCTGGGTAGGTTAATAGGTGTAATAATTAATTAACCGTTAAAGGGATATGAATAAATGATGTTTTTTTTTAATTAGCGAAGTCTAAACATGGCTGAAATGGCCAGCAAAAGCAAACATAACAAGATTAACTAAATTTTATTTGATTTATTAGGATAGTTGTAAAGCTTTTTACTTTCTCGTATATACGAAGTATAGAGAAAGTATTGTAATCGTGCAAAACAAAATCGAGATTTTTACAAATCTCGACGTTTTACACCTCACTGATACGGAAAAACATAATTTTGCAATCTTTTCCGTATGTCTGTGTGTGTGTCTGTGTGTAAAGACGATTACTTGAGTACCGTTACAGCTAGGTTGATGAAATTTCATAAATAAGTATTTTATCAAAATCGTAGATCCGTATCAACTTTTGAGCGATTTCCGATAACCGGAAGTGGTACTTTTTCTACTTTGAATTTTTCAAAAGCCTATAACTTGAGTACTTTTTCAGATAAATAAATGAAATTTCACATGTAAGTAAAAGATCTAATTCTCTACCTTCTGTCAAATTTTGAGTAATATCCTTTGACCGGAAGTACTAATTTACGCTATTTCCGATTTCTCAAAAAAACGCACGTAAATTTATAAAGTACTAATAATGTCCCGCACTATTATGCACATTTTATTAGGGCGTTGACATTGTGTGCAATTCTTTTTTTTTTACGAGATTCCATTCTATTATAAAAAGTTTAAGTAATTAAAAATGGATTACAAATATTGTCTATGTCCTGAGTTGCCATCCCTCGTAGTTTTATATTAGAATATCCGAGAAAGTTTAGGGGAGATCACTCCCGGTTTATTTAAGTTGAGATTACTTGTTTAAGGGATGGAGTGGCCTAGCTTTTAACTCTATATTGCTAGCCTGAACGTTTTTTAATCATACACGTTGACATCACGGTGAATGTTTGTGCTCCCACAGCCTACTGGTCAGTACCACGATCAGCTGTCAAGTCACCCCTGACCCAGATACAAATGAACTCTTCCTCTCTCTTCACAAACCGGAAGTTTTGTAACGTGACAGAAACGATAACTCCAGTTGGGGGAGGCAGAATGAGCTCCTGCAATACTTCGGCTTGTCTGAGTAAAACAATTTTAACTTTGGGTGTCTGAGTAAAACAATTTTAACTTCGGGTGTCTGAGTAAAACAATTTTAACTTCGAGTGTCTGAGTAAAACAATTTTAACTTCGGGTGTCTTAGTAAAACAATTTTAACTTCGGCGTGTCTGAGTAAAACAATTTTAACTTCGGGTGTCTGAGTAAAACAATTTTAACTTCGGGTGTCTGAGTAAAACAATTTTAACTTCGGGTGTCTGAGTAAAACTATTTTAACTTCGGCGTGTCTGAGTAAAACAATTTTAACTTCTTCGTGTCTGAGTAAAACAATTTTAACTTCGGGTGTCTGAGTAAAACAATTTTAACTTCGGGTGTCTGAGTAAAACAATTTTAACTTCGGCGTGTCTGAGTAAAACAATTTTAACTTCGGCGTGTCTGAGTAAAACAATTTTAACTTCGGGTGTCTGAGTAAAACAATTTTAACTTCGGCGTGTTTGAGTAAAAAATTTTAACTTCGGCGTGTTTGAGTAAAACAATTTTAACTTCGGGTGTCTGAGTAAAACAATTTTAACTTCGGCGTTTCTGAATAAAACAATTTTAACTTCGGGTGTCTGAGTAAAACAATTTTAACTTCGGCGTGTTTGAGTAAAAAATTTTAACTTCGGCGTGTTTGAGTAAAACAATTTTAACTTCGGGTGTCTGAGTAAAACAATTTTAACTTCGTGTGTCTGAGTAAAACAATTTTAACTTCGGGTGTCTGAGTAAAACAATTTTAACTTCTGGTGTCTGAGTAAAACAATTTTAACTTCGGGTGTCTGAGTAAAACAATTTTAACTTCGGGTGTCTGAGTAAAACAATTTTAACTTCTGGTGTCTGAGTAAAACAATTTTAACTTCGGGTGTCTGAGTAAAACAATTTTAACTTCGGGTGTCTGAGTAAAACTATTTTAACTTGAGTAAAACAATTTTAACTTCTGGTGTCTGAGTAAAACAATTTTAACTTCGGGTGTCTGAGTAAAACAATTTTAACTTCGGGTGTCTGAGTAAAACTATTTTAACTTGAGTAAAACAATTTTAACTTCTGGTGTCTGAGTAAAACAATTTTAACTTCGGATGTCTGAGTAAAACAATTTTAACTTCGGCGTGCCTGAGTAAAACAATTTTAACTTCGGGTGTCTGAGTAAAACTATTTTAACTTGAGTAAAACAATTTTAACTTCGGCTTGTCTGAGTAAAACAATTTCAAAGAAACATTTTTACTACATTTTATTTAAAGTATTCATTTTTTGTAACAAACAGGATCCTCTTTTAATCACTAGATGCAGTTTAGATTATTTTAATTAGATAAGTCCATTAAAAATGGAATATTATGTTTTTTTAAAGAGTATGTTGTAAATTTTCTCATCCTGTTCCCGTCTCTTGAGGACCGTGGACCCAGGGGATAGGTTAGTCCCCTGAGAGTCTGTAATAAATTTCCTCAAATTATTATATGACTTTGAGGCTGAAGGGAAACTATCATATTAATCCTGTTAGTTGCGGATTTAGAGCCCATGTTGTCATGGTAAATGTGCGTTTAAATTGCAGAGTCCCCCCGAAAAAAGTCCACCTCCCCTGAACGAAATGGAACTTATATAGAAAATATATACTTTTAACAGTGTCCCCCGCCCCCCACGGAAATTTTAGTCCCCCCCCCCAATATGTTTCAAGTGCCCCCCTCCCCCCCCCCCTTCCGGAGAAAAAGTCTGGAAGAAAAACTAGCTGGATGGACTCAGGGACTACTTACAGACTCGAGTTTGTCATCAGAAGTCCGGACGTTTGATTAACAGTCGTAAGCTCTAGCATTCAACCAGCCGTCCATATTATACTACCGCGTACATTCATTTTACTGTACGACATCAATGTAATATTTAGGAATATAATTTTTAAATGTGTTAAAAATGAAGAAAAACAATGGTAATCGCAAGTTCTTTAATTGAAGTTCTTTCTTTTACTAACATCAATATTGTGATTAGATTTTCCTTTTACGTATTTACTTCCAAAGTTGTTTAATTTTTTGGCTATTATTCCCAGCATATATAGATGTGGGCAGCAACCCAACTTTGGACCTGAAGAGCCCGAATGTGTACAGGTCATGTAAAGACGTCACGGACACAACACAGCCAAGACAACTGGTCAAGCTGACGTCAGGACTGGTGGTCATGTGCGACACACAGACAGACGGCGGAGGGTGGACGATTTTTCAACGCCGCGTTTCCGGAGCCGTCGATTTTAACCGGAGCTGGGCGGAATACAGAAATGGGTTTGGGGACTACGGTGTGGGGGATTTTTACCTGGGTAATGAAAATATTTTCTGCATTAATTCCAAAGCCAGGCATGAGCTACGGATTGACATGGAATACAAAGGAAACAGCTACAACGCAATTCACAGTTCTTTTGATTTTTATTCTGAAGCGGATGCATACAAACTTTCCGTGAACGGTTACGGTGGCAACACTTGGGACTCTCTGACAGTTCTCAACAATAACCAAAAATTCAGCACGTACGATAGGGACAACGATGAGAGCAACGAGGAAAACTGTGCACTAAAATTCGTGAGCGGCTGGTGGTTCTCACATTGTCACAGCGCGAACCTGAACGGCATCTGGGGGAGCACGGGCTACGGCACGGGGCTTGTGTGGATCTATGTTACCGGACCGTTTGATAGCGTCAGCTTCAGCGAGATGAAGATCAGACCGCTACCTTAAATCTGATGGTGTCAAAACTTGGGTTCCCGGAAAATAGTGCAGAAGTTAAAAACTGCGCAATTTTTAAATTGCGCAAACAGAAAACTGCGCTAACAAACATTGCGTAAACAAACAAAAAATGCGCAAATACAAATTTATTTTTAAAATACATTTTTTTCAAAGAATTTTCATACTACATTTTAAATGTGATCATTCTTTGTTAAAATATTGGAATTATTGATTTAAAACATAAAGTTCTCATGCGCATTTACATGTGCGCAATGTTCCATTGCGTAAATATCCGTTCCGCGATATTTTGGTAACCTAAAGTTTGAAAACGTGAACTCTTTAAGTAGGTGAATGATAAAAAGGTCACAAATTCCGACTCCTAAAAGTAAAAATCTCGCGAGTTCTTCTAGTTCATAGACTGAAATCATGAAAATGTAACGATTGCATGTAGTTAATTGTATGCAATTTCTTCAGGTTATTTTTTCAGGAAATTTTTCGTCTTATTATTGCTGGCTTATTGTAAGCCAGTTTCATTTCTATAAAATTTTTCAGCCAATTAGTTTGGCAATTTAGGGCAATTTTAGCCAATTATTTTAGACAATTTTAGTAAATTCTTTTAGGCGATTTGTAGCCAATTATTTAATGTAAGTTTTAGTCAATAATTTTAGGCTATTTTAGCCAAATTATTTTATGCAATTTTAGGCTATTTTTAGCCAAATTATTTTAGGCAATTTTAGCCAATTATTTCAGGCAATTTTAAGCCAAGTATTTTGGACATTTTTAGCAATCTTTTTTTGGCATTTTTAACCAAATCTTTCAAACTTATCTTTTAACCAATCATTTCAACCAACTTTTTCCGCCAAGTATTTCAGGAAATATTTATAGTCAATTATTTTAGTGCAATTATTTCGCTTTACTGAATTTGTGTCTAAAATTTAATACAAAATAGTAAATCACCTAAACTTGACCCAAGTTTCCTAATATAAAGAGGTTAGCGGTAAATTCAGCAAAATCAACCAAGTTAGCTAACTTTGTAGATGATAATTTTTTTTAAATACTATCCCGTTATTGATTGGCTATTTAACTATATTGTTTATTTGGATGAAAACAATGTTTACAAAGGCTACAACAATTTTTAAAAATCTATACGCTTTTAAAAATTAAGTAAAAGGTTATCAGCGAATACTCTCTAAAATGTCTTTTATTTTTAATATTTGATAATTCTTCTATATCTTCATCGTTCTTAATTGTAATTTTGGAAGGGATTTCCACCTACACAATAAATTATTACGTGTCAACTAGGTATTCGCCATAAAATATCCCTTTGGTTCCGATTTCAAACTGCTTATGGAATTTATATAGAAAATATATACTTTTAACAGTGTCCGCCCCCGCCCCCCCCCCGGTAATTTTAGTCCGCCCCCCCCCCCCAGGTGCCCCAACCCCAGAAGAAAAAAGTCTGGTGTTTAAATTTGTGTTTGAAAACATGGATCATATCCTTGGGGTAGGGGGTGTTAGTATAGTGGTAAGGAAAGTTTCTGAAATTTCTATTGATTGATTTCTCGAACCAGTATTTATAAGCATTTATTACATAGACAGCGTCAAAACACCGTCACACTTTTTACTTTCTCGTATATACGAAGTATAGAGAAAGTCTTGTAATCGTGCAAAAAAAAATCGAGATTTTTGCAAATCTCGACGTTTTGCATCTCACTGATACGGAAAAACATAATTTTGCAATCTTGTCCGTATGTCTGTGTGTGTGTGTGTGTGTGTGTGTGTGTGTGTGTGTCCGTGTGTAAACACGATAACTTGAGTACCGTTACAGCTAGGTTGATGAAATTTCATATATAAGTATTTAATCAAAATCGTAGATCCGTATCAACTTTTGAGCGATTTCCGATAACCGGAAGTGGTACTTTTCCTACTTTGAATTTTTCAAAAGCCTATAACTTGAGTACTATTTCAGATAGATAAATGAAATTTCATACGTAAGTAAAAGATCTAATTCTCTACCTTCTATTAAATTTTGAGTCATTTCCGTTGACTGGAAGTAGTACTTTACGCTACATCCGATTTCTCAAAAAACTAATGTAAATTTTAAAAGTAATAATAATATTGCGCACTATTATGCGCTTTTTTATTTCGCGTTCACTTGGTGTGCAATTAATTTGTCTACGAGATTTTATTGTATTTTTAAAACTTTAAGTATTTAAAATGGATTAAAAATCATGTCTATAGCCCGAGTTCCCATCCCCTGTTATTTTATATAAGAATATTCGAGAAAGTTTAGGGGAGATCACTCCCGGTTTATTTTTCTAAAGAACACCACTAGACATTAACAACACAAATGTGTGTGTATGTGTTAAAATTGAAATTGATAAAAGAAATGGTGTCTAATAATAGAAGGAATAATGTAAAATTTAGTCTACACGTTTAATGATCACTTTTTCTAAACTGTATTGTATAGTTTCTAAAACGCTGATGTCAATTGGTTTTTTTTAATGCACTATTTGTACGAGACATCGCCAATTTAATAAATCGAATGAAAGTTTAGAGATTAGCCTAACAAAAAGTTTGAATTTAAGGCTTCATGTTTTATTTGTAAATCCACAGAAGTTATTTTTATATTTCATACTATTTTTTAAATATTCGGTTTATTAAAATACAATTTATATGTTTGTAAAAGCTCTTTTCAAACATGACGATCCATGGTACAAGTTGAGTAGAGTTCACCTGTTTCTATGACTTCGGCATATGAAGGGATTGTGTGGTCATCACTATGCCCATCCGCTTTTACTTTCCCTAATTGAGTTAGGCACCCATCAGAGCTGTATTATATGTGTACATTTTTAAAAACACCTTTTGTAATCTATATTAATTAAAATATTGCTATTTTTAAGTTGTTCAAAAAAAGTCTGGGTTTAAATCTTTTACTTTAATATTTGTAGTGAAAAGTTGTCTTCGATAAATAATATTAATTATTACCCTATTGTAATTTTTTAAAACACTTTTCCAAAGTCTATGTAACTCAAATAAAAAATTGAAATATTTTACAATTTATTTTGTTACCTCCTTTTGTCACTATATGTTAAGGTTTGATATCCTGGTAAAATTTATTCAATTCAAGTTAAATATAATATATTCAGTGTCTATACAGTTGACCTTACAAATAATAACTTTCACAAAAATTAGTAATAAGGAATTATAAGTCAAACGATTAGGTTTTACTTAACCAAATAAATAGAAGCCAATATAAGTGTTAAGACTATACATTGTACGAATGCATAGTAACAATAGGTATAAATCAGGAACTTGACAATTTAAATGTGAATAACTAAATCTGCGCATATGGCAAATAACAATAATATAAAAAATTATTGAAGCTGAAAATGTAATAAAATAAAATATAAAGCGATTTTTAAAATGAGCCTAGTCAGATATAGTTTTTTGTTTTTAATGTCGACAGCACAGAACGAAACTGTGTAGAGGCGTAGATTGCACCCCCGAGAAAACCATGAAACGCTGATCGATTGTGAATAAAACCTTATAGGGATCAGAAGTTATCCTAGGCCGTATTTCTCTATTCAAACAGCATATTTACAAGTAAAATTGAGATAAATCTTTCAGCGATGTAGCGGATTCTTCTTATACACACACTCACGTGGAAAACTGTAGGCTAGAGGTCTCTCTCTACGTCCTCACAGGGAGCTAAAACAAAACAGTACATGGTACAAATGGTCAGAGTTCTGGAGAATTGGGCTGCTGAACCTAAAGGCGCGCGTTCGAACCCCCGGACAGATTATGCTGGGGACAGCAACCCATCTAGGAGAGACATCTCCAAAATCAAACAACTGCTGCCTTGTAGTTTGTTCTTGTTTAGAGATTTCCACACATCTCTATACAAGGTCGTTATTTAGGTAATGAATATAAGAGATATAACTGTAAAACAACCGCCGTTACAGAATTCTTTTTTGTTCAATTAGCCATCAAGGAAAGATGAAGAAGAAGACTTTTTAAGTTCGTGAAAAAAAATATTTATGTGTTTTTTTTTAATTATATATTATATGGAATAATGTTTGAAAACATTGAAAGTAAATTTTAAATTAGTCAATTTAGGGTGAACAAATCGGTTTCTCCCTCTTTACTTCCCACCCCTCCCCTCCCCTTTATTTTAACAGGGACTGTTGCACTGTAGCTATTAAGCGGACAACAATACCGGCAGGACAGAAATCTCCAATACTTCGTCGTATTGCTCCACAAGTGATAAATCGATAAATTGATTTCAACGGCCGTACCAAGTGCACTTAAAATATTTTTCCAAATATTAATGAAAACAAAAGCTTGATTAGTCAATTGGAATCTGTCAGACCATGAATTTCAGTGACCTTTGTCTATATTTATCATGACCTTTGTCTATATTTATCATGACCTTTTTCTATGTTTAATATTCATACGCAGCTCACACATGAACCCACAAGAACCCAGGTATTTACACAACAGGACATGGGCCTCTGGTCTAAGACAATTCTCAACAGCAGCAACATGGGTAGCTACAGCAACATGGGTAGCAACAGCAACACGGGTAGCAACAGAAACATGGGTAGCAACAGCAACATGGGTAGCAACAGAAACATGGGTAGCAACAGCAACATGGGTAGCAACAGCAACATGGGTAGCTACAGCAACATCAGTAGCAACAGCAACACGGGTAGCAACAGCAACATGGGTAACAACAGCAACATGGGTAGCAACAGCAACATGGGTAGCAACAGCAACATGGGTAGCAACAGAAACATGAGTAGCAACAGCAACACGGCACTTCTGTTAGACACCTGACTCAACTACTCATCTTTACCAAAACAGGTGTGGCACACCGCGAATTTAACCTCCAGCTATCTGATTAGATGCCTAGGATAAGAATAATCCTTTAATTTATTTTTTAAATTGAAGTTTGTTCAAAATTAAATTATAATAACAGTTTCGCTAAAAGAATATTTATTACCTAAAGATTTTTTTTTAATTATTGTGTTTACTTATTAGAATTGTTATGTCTTCTTTGGATTAAATTCATTACCGCCTACACTCGTTTCTCTTTGTTTGACTATGTCAGATATAAATAGTTAATCTAGTTCACCCAAGTGCATTCTCAAAACTACATCAAGAGTGTAAAATTTTCCACGATTTGTTTTATTAATTTTTAAATAATAAAAAATTCCGGATTTGATAGTATTATTCCTGAAACATTTTACAGTTAAACTTTTTCCCTTAGACAAATTAATATTTTTAACACTAAGAAAACAAAAACAACTTTGCTTGACTGTTTTTGATAACAAATTCAATAAATCCGCGTGTTTTCCTCCACCGTGGTTTGTTGTTTTTGTTAGTAACCTTTGAAACGGAGTTTAATTTTATCTTCAGCTGTGCTTTTTTTTTTATCAAGATCAATATTTTTATCGAAAGTCTTTAAAATATGACTATATTTATTCATACCGTTGATTAAATTAGCTAAAACTAGCTTCATCATAAACAATGTCATAAATATTTAGGTGTATTGACTTTTTATGCTTATTAATTAAAGATAAAGGTGAGCGGTTCTTTTGACGATTGCAGAGGGGTGTTGATATGAAAGATAAACTTTCATATACGTAAAGTAGTAACCCCCCCCCCCTCCGCCAACTGTCCAGTAGGCAGATGAAGTAGAGTTTATCTATCTCTCTGAACTAGGCGTACGCAGCAATATATTATTTTCAGTACAAGGCTTTAAACCTTTCCAAACTTCACGCATGTCTCCATCAGATAACAGTCCCTTGGCCATTCAGATTAGGGTTAAGTACGGTGTTAAAGTATTTTTATCGTTATAAACCTTGGAGCAGTTTAAGGACAAGTACACTTATGAGAAGCAAAAATGGGAAAATAGACCAATCTGTTTTTAAAAAAGCTGAAGATATAATTGTTGAATAACAATTTGAAGTAAACATGTTTTTACTGCTGAGAACTGTGTCTACTTCTTTATAATACTAGCCATATAACAAATAGACAGGTATTCGATTTGTGTGAGCAATGTAGATAACAGTTTTTTAACAAATAAAACGTGTTGGTCGATGTGTTGGTCGATGTGTTGGTCGATGAGTTGGTCGATGTGTTGGTCCATGTTGGTCGATGTGTTGGTCGATGTGTTGGTCGATGTGTTGGTCGATGTATTGGTCGATGTGTTGGTCGATGTGTTGGTCAATGTATTGGTCGATGTGTTGGTCGATGTGTTGGTCGATGTGTTGGTCGATGTTTTGGTCGATGTTTTGGTCGATGTTTTGGTCGATGTGTTGGTCGATGTTTTGGTCGATGTGTTGGTCGATGTTTTGGTCGATGTGTTGGTCGATGTTTTGGTCGATGTGTTGGTCAATGTATTGGTCGAAGTGTTGGTCAATGTGTTGGTCGATGTGTTGGTCAATGTGTTGGTCGATGTGTTGGTCGATGTGTTGGTCGATGTTTTGGTCGATGTTTTGGTCGATGTTTTGGTCGATGTGTTGGTCGATGTTTTGGTCGATATGTTGGTCGATGTTTTGGTCGATGTGTTGGTCGATGTTTTGGTCGATGTGTTGGTCGATGTTTTGTTCGATGTTTTGGTCGATGTGTTGGTCGATGTGTTGGTCGATGTGTTGGTCGATGTGTTGGTCAATATATTGGTCGATGTGTTGGTCAATGTTGGTCGATGTGTTGGTCGATGTGTTGGTCGATGTGTTGGTCGATGTATTGGTCGATGTGTTAATCAATATGTTGGTCGATGTGTTGGTCGATGTGTTGGTCGATGTGTTGGTCAATGAGTGTTTCGTGATGTAAACAACACAGGTGGAAGTGCAGACAGGTCAGTAGATCTTTACAAGAAACAGTTCTCCACACACTACAGTTCTGGTGCAGAAAACAGTAGTGACCCAGGCTACCGTAACCAATACGAGTGTACTGACCCATACAACAATACTGACCTATACAACAATACTGACCCATACAACAATACTGACCCATACAACAATACTGACCCATACAACAGTACTGACCCATACAACAATACTGACCCATACAACAGTACTGACCCATACAACAATACTGACCTATACAACAATACTGACCCATACAACAATACTGACCTGTACAACAATACTGACCAATACAACAATACTGACCCATACAACAGTACTGACCCATACAACAGTACTGACCCATACAACAATACTGACCCATACAACAATACTGACCTGTACAACAATACTGACCAATACAACAATACTGACCCATACAACAAAACTGACCCATACAACAATACTGACCTCTACAAAACTTCTGACCCATATAAAGTACAATTCGGGCGAAGAACTAGTCAACACAATAAAACAACTCACACGTACTCGACTACCGTATTCCCCCAAATAAATCCCAGCAACTTTTACAGCCAGATTACCGCTGTGAAATAAATCACTTTATTGAAACAAAACAAAAACATGTTTGATTAAACTAACGCCACAGATGTCCTTCCCAGCTTATCTGATTACCTAAACTTGTTTTCTTCTCTCCCTGCAAACTTCATAAATTGTATGTATCGATATGTTATCATTATGAGAGATTCCGATGATTTATAACAGGTTTTTCATGTATATATAAGTTCTGTTAAATAAATTTGGCGTTACTTAGCAATAAGCATCGGTTCTTCAACTTGTATTTCGACAGAAGATCTTTTACAAGGGTTTTATAAGGCGAGTAGGTGTTGTTTTTTTTTTAAGTAGATTATAGAGAATCAGCACTCTTTGGGTATTCTGTGCTGTTATATGTTTAGAGTATATTTTAGAAGGATCGATTAGTAAAGACTTCGAGTGTCTTTGAAAGACACAAATTTTTGACAGATATAGAATATCTTTGACACACAGTATGTTTCACAGATACAGAATATCTTTAACAGACAGTATGTTTCACAGATACAGAGTATAGTTGGCAGTATCTTTACACAGCATAGGGTAAAATTTATATGTTTTCTGGTGTTACTTATGTTATTTCTTCTGTAATTAAACTTAAAAAGTTTCTTTTGCTTTCCCGCCACCACAGAAAGGGAAACAACTATGAATTACTTGGCAGCCATCTTTCTGGTGTCCTGTTTGGCTTTTGGCTCGG